AGAGATCAGGTAGAGCTCGCGATTTTACAGCTGTAAACACGGGTTTCTGTTTATTTGCTGATGGAATGGGAGAGGTGTAGGGGGGGTCTGTGATGAGGATCAATTATTTTATTCTTGGGTGGGGGGGGTTCAATTATTTTATACCTAGGGGTTCAGCTTTTTCCAGCTACCAGGTGGGGAATTCTTTTCTGAGAGAACCTGGGGGTTGATTGTCTAAAACCAGGCTCAAAATAACCATCACCAAAAGCACTTTAGTCCTTGTTCTGCAGTTTCCATTCACAGTCAAGAACTCGATTTGCTTTCAGGATTTAGCTGTGTGCACCTGAACTGCTCTAAGCCTCTCCCATTAAAAGAGGGTTTTTTTAACCCCCCTCCTTAAGTCCTGTACGTTCTTATTTCAGTTAAATCGAGAGCCTTGTAAATCCAGGGTAGTCTTGCATCAGGCAGAGCAGATTCCTAATCCAGCTCTGTCTGTGGAGCTCGGAGTGCCCTCCACTCACTCCTCATTCCTCAGTTCAGGGCTCAGCCTGTTCCTGTTTCTTGCAGCCCCGTTCCTGTTTCGGGGTATCCCGTGCAAATAAATCTTTTGTTGATGCTCGTCTTGGGCTCTTGAAAGTTATTTTCGGGGATTTCTTTGTTGGTCAGATACCGTTATAGCGCCCAAAGTGTGACTGATGTGTGCTTTAACACGGGTGGCTTAAAACTTGAAGCTGCTACCAGCTTAAAGGAACGTTTCTAACGGGCACATTTCTTTTTCTGGTACAGGTGTGCTGGAAAAATGAACCTTCCAGGGAGATTAGTGGATAAAGGGGCGAAGATTAGTTATCCTTCTCCATTCCGACGCTGATAATTTTAACCTACAATCCGTTCCCTTGAGGCACCTGAAGGTTGGTGAATTCTCACAAATTAAATGGAACAAGAATTAAATTCTGCCTTCTGAGTGTCGCCTTTAGGAGCATTTTAACTCTTCCACTGACACTTTTCTCCTTAAACGTGAGAGGAGACAACAGTGGTTTAAGGTTATGCTTTAAAATGCCTTAAGTATTATCTCCTAAATACATTTCTTCCTGCTGGGAGTTGCTGAGCTGCGCCGAGGAGTGAAAGTTGACTCTGGGGCAGGGAAAAGTCTCCGCTAAAAACCCTCTAACAAAGACGAGCATCCTCTTACCACGCCAAAAACCGCCTCACCTGTCATTTTGACCCCGGCGGTCTGGAGGGGAACAGCTCTCCCTCCAGAAGGAAACGATCAGCGCTCACCAAACCGGTTGCTTTGTGGGGGTTTTAATATTTTTTTTATTTATTTTATTTTTTTTTTAAGTCGAGAGGAAGAAAATCGCTGGGAGCCACTCACGGAAAGTTGCGGGGAGCCCGAGGGGTGTGAGAGGTGCCCGGTGTGGCACCGTCCCCACCCCGAGAAGGGGCTCCTCGGCCGCCCCCGCCTCTCCCACCGCGGAAAACCCCGGGATCAGATCCTGTCCCTGCTCCCAGAACCCCTTCCCCAAACCTTCGGCTGCCGTTTATGCCTCGAATTGTATTTACGGCAGGGACGATGCGCTGCTGGAGGCTCCCTCCTCTTTACCGGGGTGTCCTCGCCGGGGCTGGAAGGGGATTTTTTTCCCCCCCGTCTCATCCCTCCCGGAGTTCCGCCGTGCCTTTTACCTGGATCCCACTCCCTGAGCCGAACCTCGGGGACCCCCAAAGGGCAAACCCCGATTTATCGGCGCTTGCGCCGGTCCAAACGCTTCTTTTACCGCTCGAGTTTAGGGCTGAGGAGTCGGAGAAATCGGCTTTTCACTCGGTTTAAACACGGTTTGGGCTCGAAATGCGGCACCTAGAGCAGGAGCCCGTAATTTCAGAAGTATTTAAGGACTCCTGTCCTTCTGCAGCGCGTCTTAAAGGCGAGAAACTTAAGTTGGGAAGACGGGGAGGGAGGGGGGAAGCAAATTATGTCCCCGAAATCGCTTCCTCTCCCCGGAGCGCTGAGACGGCGGGTCCGGGGTCGCTGCTCCCACAGCCCCCCGGGATCGTGGGGAGGGCACCCCAGAGCCGGGAGGGGACGAATCCCTGCATTTTTTGTGTGCAGAATTCTGGTGGCAGCTGTTTGAGGCGAGGGGAGCGCATCCCCTCTGACCCGCGCCCTGCCCTCTGACCCGCCATGAATCCCTAAAAGCGGGGGTCCCCCGGGGCCACGCCACACGAGCCCCCTTTGTTCCCCGTCCCGAGGGTCTGGAGACACCGGGCTGGGGCTGAGAGAGCGTCTGGGTTCGCCCCGACCTTGCAGGGACAGGCTCGGCTTCATCCCCAGGAGCGAGAGGCTTCGGTTCTCAGGGAACGTTCTCTCCTCGGGAATCTCCTCGGCCAAGGTTACCCCGAGTGGGAATTCCGACCCCCCTCCCCTCCCCGTCCCTGCCCCAGGGTTAAGAATAAAAGCAGGAACTGTCGGAGTGGCATCGCCAAAAACGATCTTAGGACAAAGAAGGGGCTTTCATTCGAGGAAACGTGCCCACTCCTATGGCGAAACGGTTAAAAAAAAATCACCGCAACATGCCCTCCCATCGCCTGTGTATTTATCTCACACGCTGTGGTTTTCTCACTGTTTTCTTTTCTTTAATAGATCTTACCCCGTTTGGTTGGATTGGGTTTTTTTAGTACTGAGAAATGGCATCTCTGAGATGCTGAGATCGTATCTGCGAAGACCGGCCTCCCCTCTGTAGCACCGTCAAACTGCTGGTTGCTGTTCTCCAGCGCTAAAATAACGCCAGGCTCGCCTTTTGCTAACCTGGCAAAATCACTTCCTGCATATTTATCAATTTGGGGAGGTGGGTTAGCATGGCAAATTTCCCTGAGCAAAGATTGGGTGAGATGTATTAGTTCATCCAATACCATGTCTGTCACTTATGTAGACAGAATAAATCGGAGTCCCGGCTTTGCCCTCAATCGTGCCTGAATTAAGGATACATTTTTATGAAAGTTTTATGGGAAGATTTTAATTTGCGATTCTTTTTGGAGAGAACTGTGTGAAACTCCGTGAAAATAATGTAGTATTTAAGAGGTGGCTTTTTGAGACGCGGCCGAACGTGGATGGAAGGAGTCCGGATTTATTCTGAGATGGAAATTATAGTTCTATCCCCTTTAAAAAAAAAAAAAAAGGACCAAAACCCCCAACAAAGCAGGTTAAAGAGAGGAGCTGCACATAATGAGTCAAGGAAATCCTTGCGCTGTCCCTTTAACTACCGAACATCTGATTCCCTCATCTGGCAGATGGTCTCTGAGCACAGATTTGCATTCATTGTCTTGAAATCTGTTTTCGCGTTGGTGTTATATAGATTTCAGAGGCAGATCTATACACGGATCGGAATACAAAAGGGCCGGGAGGAAAATATCGCCAAGGCAGAGCGGTTTTTAAAAAATATAAATTAAAATAAACGCAGGCTTAGGTATAGTCCGGGGTCACAGCGGGCTGGGCTGGGGCGAGCTCCAGTTTCCTTTAATGGGAAATTTTGCCTTCACGGGATGTTATAAAAAGTTTTAAGGCGATGTCTGACAGCTCGCGCGGTGTAACTTTGGGGTCTGCCGGCTGCCTCGCAGTGCCGGGCTGGCTCTTGCCCTGCAGGCAGCCCCTTCCTACACCCCCCCCCTCTGCCCCCCGCGGACCCGTTTCACCCCCTCCGAGCACTTTTTGTGTTTAAATCCCGCGCCCGAAACCAAAGCAGCCAACTAACCCCGAGCGGCGGCTTCGGCAGCGCTGCAGCCACCGCAGCTTTGGAGGCGCAGTCTGCGCGTTCTGGGGCAGCACCGCTCGGCGTGTGGCTATCGGGCCATCGCTGATTTCTAATCATCACGATAAATCATCACGATAGACCCGGGCTGCGGCCGCCCCGGGGCGGGTGCCGCGAGTGCCTCTCCCTCTCCGGCCTTGCTGCTTTTAGCCCAGTTTGGGCGTTCTAAGCGGGGCTGCGGGGCCAGGACGATAACCCAGCACTTTAACCCATCACGATAACCCAACATTGTAACCAGTCACGATAACCCAGCACTGTAACCAGTCACGATAACCCAGCCCCACAACCCATCACGATAAACCCGCTCTTCCCCCTGCTCGGGCACCGGGGGTGCTCCTCCCGCTCCGGCCCCGCTGCTTTCAGCCCGGTTGATGGGTTCAGTGGCAGGTGCTGCCGGGCCATCGCGACAGCCCATGCTGACACCCCATCGCGACAAACCCGCCGTCCCCAGCTCAGGTTCCACGGTGCCGGTGGCGCTCCGGCCCTGCTGCTTTTAGCCCAGTTAACGAGTTCAGCGGCAGGACCGTCCTGCCGGGCCATCCCGCTCCTCTATCCCAGTCCCCGATCCCGGTCCCCCATCCCGATTTTCCTCCTCCATCGCCGCAGCGCCGCCGTTCCCAGCGCCGGGACTCTGCGGTGCCGGGCACCTCCCGCTCCGGTCCCCGCTTCTTTTAGCCCAGTTCGTGCGTCCTGCTCGGGGCTACCGCGATCATCTCCCCCTCCCCCCCCCCATCCCGATATCGCTCCCCTATCGCGACATCCCCCCCCCCCATCACGGGCTCCTCCAGGGCGGGGCGATGGGGGGGTGGGCGTGACTAAACAATCCCTCCTCACCAATCACGACGCGGGATGCAAATGAGATGGCCTTTTTTGGGGCGGTCGGCCCCGCCCCCCGGGCGCGCTCCCGCTCCCTCCGTGTAACCCGTTGATGGCGCGGGGGGAACCACGAGCTGCTCCTTCCCTTCCCTCTCTGCCTTTCCGCCCCTTTATCCCCCCCCACCCCGTCCTGCTTTGTGTTTTCCTTGGTTTTTTTTTTTTCTCTCTCCCCTTTCCTGGATCAGGCGGCGATCAATCCTCTCTTCCCCGCGTCTGCCGAGAAACAGGTGATCCTCGTTAGCGGCGCTCGCTTTGGTGGATGCGGTTTGCTCCTTCCTCCCCGCGCGCCAGGAAGGATGGTGGTACCAAGGCGAGGCTGAACCGGCGCAACTTCTGCTCGGCGAGAGGAAAAACTTTCTGCCCCCGTCCGAAGGCGTTAAAAACACCTAGCGTTAAAAAAGCAGCAGAAGAAGCTGGGTCTCAAAGCTGAACTTCACTTTTCCTGGGATTTTGTGTGTGTCAGACTCAAAGGCTGCAACGTTTTTGGTTTTGCTTTTTTTTTTTTTTTTTTCTTCCCTTCTCCCTTATCTCCCGAAAGGAAACTGTTGCTAGTTGGAACAGACTTTTTAAATGTTTGGGATTCAAGATACTTTAGGAAGAGGACCAATTCTGAAAGATAAATCTCTAGGTTCTGAGATGGATTCCGTCAGGTCCTGGGTCAGAAACGTTGGGGTTGTGGATGCAAACGTAGCAGCACAAAGGTAACCGTGACTATTTCTCCCCCCGCTTTCCCCCTGCGTTTTGTTTCTTTTTTTTTTCTTTTTTTTTTTTTTTTTACAAGCCTTTTTTTCACTCCTTGTCGTTTGCATTTGATATTAAATTTACTTTCCCCCTTTCTCTCCCGCTCCCGTTCTCCTCTAGTCAGTGAAAATCGAAGGTGGTAGCGGTAGAGTGAGGGAGAAGCGCTCCAAAAACCGGAGAGCATCAGGAGTCCTAAAACCCGGTGCGGGGCTCAGATGACAGCGAGAGGGGATCCTTCCTTCATTTTCCCCTCAAGGAAGATGCTGGGGGTGGGTGGGTTGGTTGTACCCACCGATACAGGACACTCCGTCCCGCTCCCCCGGTCACTCAGCCGGACAGGAGGGGACCAAGTTAGAATTAATCGAAATGTAGATCTTCCCCCACAAATCCCCCGGCCCATCTTGTTCGACTTTGCCGAAATCTTCACCCGTGGGTTCAAGGCGGGTGACGGACCAAGCCGGGCAGGCAGAGCAGGGGCTGAGTGAGCAGGGGAGGGCACAGACACCCCGGAGCACCTGCCCGAGTGTCCGAGAGGTCTCTGCCGAGCCCAAATACCCCCGAACACCCCGAAACTGTTTGTTCTTTACTTGTTTGGAGGGGTTATTCTCCCCCTTCACCCCGCTCCCCTCTTTTATTTTCTCTTCCCAGCCAAGAGCCAGCACAGGACAGTTATTCCAGTCTATTTCCGTTAGGGGTAAGACGGCGAAACCCTTCTAGATATTTTATTTCCCCCCTCGGTGTCTGAATAGCCTTAAAAAAAATAAGTTAAAAAGGAAAAAAAAAAAAAAAAGAAAAGAAAAGAAAAGAAAGTAGGAGAGCCGGGGAAGGCTAAATTGGGAACCCCGGGAACAAGTCGGGTTTTATTTAGTAGGGAGAGAGACAAGGTGAAGGGCAAAGAAACAGCAGATGGGACTTCAGCTGAAACAGGGACGTTTTAGAAATAGTCCATCCGTGCCCCCACCCACGGCCCGATCCGGCAGCGAGGTTTTCCAAGC